CAACACAGAAAATAATACATATCTACATTTGTTACATATATATAAACATTTCATAAAAGTGACATCTGCACCACTGGACACCTGCCAGTGTTTATTTTCTCCATTAAACTGATCCCATCCTTTAATTTTATCACCTCCTTATTTTCTGTCTCTCTCTCCTCAGCTATCACAGACATATTGGCTCTATTGCGACAGCTTTCACACTATTCCCTGTGTTATGTTTTGTTTCTTGCAGAGGTCAAAGTCCAGTTTCTGAGAAACCATCGTTATACAGTTTATACTGCCAACCCAATGAGGTCTAAGATGGTCAGGACGGCCTCAGAAATTTCAGCCACATGATGATTAAGTGGACTGTTGCTGGTAATAGCATCATTTTCTGTAAAAAAGAAGAAAAGAAATAAAAAGGGAAAAGAAAAGAAAAACATAAATACATTATTAACGTAAGGCAAAAATCACAGCATTCTCTACACATATAACAGAATATAATGGGCAGATAATTTATGCTTGTGAAGACAAAGTACCAGTTACTTTAACAGTTACATTAACAGTTACATTAACAGTTACATTAACAGTGGCAAAAGCAAAGATTAACACCTTAACATCCCAGGCTTGTTATATCCAAAGGCTTTTTCTTCAGAAACTACATGGAAAGCAATATAGATTAGCTGTTATTCTTTAGTTATAAAGATGAGAAATGAAAGCCTGGATGGTCAGCAGGATATTTACAGCATGTTAACGAATGTATTCATTATTCTATTCAAAACGTTTCTTTGTGGATTATTTTGTAATTGCTACACCTGTGATGTTATATATTGTTTAAATTGTCCTTATAAAATACACTAACTGGTCTATTCAGTGTAAATAGGTGAGTTTTTTTATGTGATGAAAGGAAGAGAACACTGTACCTTGTGGAGCAGCAGTGACTCAATCTGTGAAAAGAGTCAGACTGAAATAAATTTAACAGTGTGCGCTACAGTTGTGCAGAAATATGTAACTTATCTACTGACAAAAGAAACATACCTGATAAGATCACGCTGAGATTTACTTTAATAGTTCCACATTTCAGTTGTACCCAAAGTGGAAATGCCCCATTGTCTTTCCTGGATGGATTCTGAATTGGGTAAGTAAATGCAAGATTCACAGCGCAATCAGTGTCACTTTTTAGTGCAATTCCATTCTTTTTCCATTTGTATAGGATACACTTGCAGTTTGGCTCATACGTAATTTTGCAGGTAAGAGTTAATGATTTCCCTGTTCCATTTATGTCAAAACACCTGTCATTTCTTGATAAATAAAACAAAAATAAACAATAAATACATTGTTAGTAAATACATTGTAAAAGTTCACTAAACACACACACACACACACACACACACACACACGAACACACACACATTTTAACATAAGTGAAATGACTTTTGTTCATTTCACTGGGACAGACATGGCCTTGGTCTGCGGTTCATGGCCTTAGTCATTCTGGAAGTGCAGTAAACATGTAATTAGATTACAGTCCAGAAGTGTAAAACAAATGTAAACAACCACAGTTTTTACGAATGCTTTAGCACAAATCCACACACACAAGCTGCAGAAATACACAATTGATAGTTGGGTTTAATTATTTCTTGTATATTATTTTCCCCAGGACTCAGTACCACTGCCTTTTTTCCTTGCATCTGCTCATTACAAGTCAGGAACAGATGAAGGAATGCTTGCTTACACAATATTTACTAGCTGGAACTGCTTAACAATACAAGTGGATAGCTAGCTTGCCTTGATAACATTCTCTTGGTATATGCTGCACATGCACTCACCCATTTGTAGAGAATATGGTGAAGGATGACTCATCTTTTCACACTTTTCCCCACATTTCTATAGTGCTTAAGTTTTTTCAGTACTGAAATCTCAAATGTGGATCTCAAATGCTCAATCAGTAGACACATTAGCTAAGTAAGTTCTTTTGACCCAGTGCCCCACTGGATAAACGTTTTTGGAAATAATCATATAGACCAATAAAAATGTTTGTACAGTCAAATTTAACTGAATCTTGATAATTAAAGTAAAATAGGGAAACTTTTACTGAATTTACATTTACACAATGGTTGACTCTTACTTATTTTGAATTTTATCTGGGTGACTGCATTATCAGGATTTTTGAAGCCAGTTGAGGTCAGATGTACATTTATATCAATGCCTATGTATATTGTATATGTATTGTTTAAATATATGATTATGAGGGTTATGGAGGTAGGAATATATACATTTGGAGGTAGGAATATTTTTATTAGAAGCTCCCTCAGACAAAGGGCAAAAGGTCCCCATAAGCATAATGGTCTGAAACTACAGTATTTTGAAGACATAGTTATTAATTATAGTTTCACTGGCTAGCTAGTATTAGTGTCATGTGCCAACTATAGTGATCCGAGAGAGTGAATACCGGGGGAAAAGAGTAGCAGACCCAGCACTGAGCCTTGTGGGACACTAGCGTAGAGTCTGCATGGAGCCCATGTGGATCCTCTCCAGGGATATGTCCAAATACCCCAGAAGATCTTGCTTCTTCTTCCTGATCCAGTTCCTCTTCTTCATGACCCAGAAACTGATTTCTCTGAAGCCATCTCTACAGCAAAAGGCCGTGAAGAGCCAAAAAACACATCTGAAACATCCTGTTCAGTCATTTTAAAGCTGTACACAGCATAGAACTCTGTTGCATTCTAATTCAGATAATGATGGAAAGAAGCATAGCAAATAAATCTCAGCAAACTCCTCTGTCAATCTTGAGCTGCATGTAAACATTTCATTAGATTACAGTGCAATAAGTGAAAGTGAAAAGCAAACACACAGTTTATAAATCATTATAAAGGATGATTTAGTTGTATTTTTGTTTTGCTTGTTTTGTACCCGGTTTATTTAAGAGGGGGCTAGTATGGACAGGAACTTGAGAGGAACTGACATAATTAATGCTGTTATTAAAGCAAGGGACACATAGCTAATATAAAAGAAATGATGCATGCAATCATTTTGAAATTAAAGTGACAATAAATGGGCACTCATTGCACAGCAATGCTAATAACACTGCTACTGACTAATAGCCTGTTTGTGTACTCTGCACTTAATGTGTGCTTACACTTACGCCGTCGGTGGTCAACAGTGAGTGATGTGAGGTGATCCATGCATTTTCCTTTGCCCTTTAGCTGAAACTTTCAAAATGTATAAAACTACAGACCCCTCATCTATTCCTGTCTGGACTGAAAATCACAATATTCATTTTATCTTGATGTAGCAGAATGAGGGTTGGTTGTCACAGTTTTTCTGTTGTATTGCCACAGTTTACCATGGAGATAATTGGTACAATGTTAAAAAAAATGTAAACTGAATTTTAATTGAAAATTAAAAACCGCTAATATACATATACAAATAACAATATCTCTCAAATTTCTATAGGAAGTCATTTTTGCTTTGATGCTAATGGGATAGTTGTCCCCACCTTAACAGACAGTGGTCTTCTGATGTCTTGATGAGCCTACATAAGTGTTGGTCAGCAGAGAAAACATTCTAATGTCCCCTCACATGCCCGTGAAATGAACACTGTGCCGTCCGGCCCCACTCTGCTCTACTGGCTAGTAGGCCTGGACGATATGCAAAGATAACTAGTACAATAATTTCTAGTTAAAAATTGTGATTATCGATTATATAGCCTCCCTACCCACATCCACCTGCCCTCAACCAAAATATACAGTCTATGGCAGCCCCTGGTCACACTGAAGCAAAGTCAAAACATGTCAGCTTTTATTTTTGGTTCCATGCACTCATAGCGCTTCTTAACCAGCTTTATCTCTCTTTCTCTCTCAAACAGAAAAAAACAGACTATTGGGGCACGCACCCAATTCTTAATGGACTGTGAACCACAATTTCTCAGCATATTTAAGAATGTGTTTAAAGCTGTTTTATAAGTCCTCTCTTCTTCGTCAGTTTTCCAACTCGGCCATTCTTACCTTTTAAGCATTGTCATCGGTTTACTTGTCAATCATCAACAATATCCAATTACAGATCTACTGGCTAATAAATAACCTCTTCTAAGTTCAGAATAGTGTTGAATAATAATCACTATGTTGAATAGCCCACTGTGAAGTTCACATATGTAGTTCATTTCTGAATTATGTAGCTCACAACAGTCAGAAAAGTTCACTTGTACTTGTTCAGAATTTAGTGTTAAGGGCTACTTCATTAAAATGTGAATGAAAACTAATGGATGAAAGTAGTTAGCATGTGCTTGTTTGCATTTTACAAACTTTATAAACAATATCAGAATTCATGCATCGTTTCAGCCCCCTCCATACAAAATGAAGGGTTACTAGTGCTGTCCACATTTACCTGGTGGCCAGATGTTTATAAACAACGATTAAAAGGGCATAACCAGGAGACCAAAGAGCTTAAACTGCCCACTAGTCGTGGACTGCAACATCAAGGAAAAGCAGGGAGAAAAAACTGTTTTTTTTTAAAACAAATAGTGGAAAAGATCCATCCTGACAATGTTTTGTGAACCACTAAAATGTCAGAGATACAGATATAGAGCTGTTCAGTGCTTGCAAATATTCCTTAAAGAAGGTTATAGCAGACTTTTCTCTCCAAATCTATTCACCAAAACAACTTAATGTAATAAAAGCTTTTATAATTTGTAGAATTGTGCCTAGAATGGGTTTTCTTCTATTTTACATTGAAAAAAATGCAGTGCTCTCTTGTACACAGACATTTCTGCATACTTCCTTATTTTGGACACTAAAGATTATTGGCCTCTTTAAATAGATGTGTTTCTTTATTTTTGTTCCTACAGGCCATAAAGAGAGGCTATGCAGACACCATTTCCTTACAGAATTCTTTACAATGCAACTGATGATCAGAAATGAAACACCAGAAAATTAAAAGGGGGTATTAAGACAGCCTAAAGATGTATACATGTAACCTTCAACCTTACAAAAAAACGTGATTTGTAGATTTTTCCATCTTTTACATGTAGTAGAGTTTTACCCAGCCCCGTTACCCTTCACAATCCTGGCAGTGAATTAAGAAAAAAGAGCACTAATATTCACGGGAAACAATGCACAGAATATAAATGAAAGCAGACCACAATTTCATGCCGTTTATAAATATTCAGGTGCTGGTTATAATTACAGTTAAAGATTAATATGCAGTTTTTTAGTCAGACAGCAGGCCTTTTGTTCTCATCACAGCCTTACAGGACTGCATAGGCTGTGTTCCATCAAAACCTGACACTGATCAAAAAACTGCACTCATCTGACAGCAGTTGTGCGTGCATGTGTGTGTGAGAGAGAAGCACATGCATGCACACACTCACGCACACTCACAGTCTGTGTGCAGTGCTGTAGTATAGCCATAGAAATGACATCACTCTCTATGGTTATGGCTGAGTTCTCTCATGGCGCTCTCTGCTGGTTAACTGGTGGTGTTGCAACAGCCAATGTTGACCTTAAATCAGCCTGAGTAAATAAAAATGGCTTTGCAACTGTAATTTTTGCCTGAACTCAAAAAAAGGTTAAGCACATTACATTCACATCTTTTTTTTGCATCTCTCCTCTGATTGTTCATCCAATGCTCAACAGCAGAGATTACAGAGATCATACATGGAGTTAACAGTTTGCATTTGACAAAATCTGTGATGTGTTACAAAGGTGCAAGTTGGTCGTATACAATTGATAGTTCGGTTTGATTATTTCTTGCATATTATTTTTCCCAGGACTTGGTACCACTGCCCTTTCTCTTGCTTCTCTTCAAATCAGATCAGGAACAGATGTGGAAAAGCAGACAAGTTTGCTCACGCCTCATTTACTTGCTGGAACTGCTTAACCAAACAGATAAATAAATAAATAAACAATGTGATGAGAAACCTAGAAATGTCTAGAATCCCCATCGTCATGATTCTCTGAGTCATTAACATTCTAATAGACAGCGCCTCAGTAACTAATGTACATATACATTACATAGCATTACAGTTTCACCTGTCCGTTCTTAATAGTGCCTTTATCATACAGGATAAAGCGAGCCAAATGGAAATGCTCTGAGCATACAAATACAGGCCCGTGTCGGACAGATGGATGCTGATAATCCATGATTTAAGATGTGCATCAAATACATTCCACATACATTTGATATATTTCGTCCAGCATACGCCCATTCATCACTCATACACACAACAAAGGACAAATTTCAATGTTAAACAATGCCTAAGTGTTGTAAAAAATCACAGAGACACATTCAGAGAGCTGGGTGGGGAACATAACAGGCCTGAAAGACAGCCAAACTACACACGGTATATTTCATATCACCACTAGATTCGCTGCTTTTCTGCAAAAGAGAGGAGATTACAAGAAGCCATCACTATTCAGCCATGCTGGCCACAGTGGACAAGAACACTCAGCCAATAGAACCAATAAAAGGACAAGGACAGTAATAATATTCAAAGGTAAATAAACTCCAGAGACATATATTAAATGTATCTCAGATAGGAATAATAGTTAAGATTGAGTGCAAGAGACATTCTGGGGCAAAAATGATCATTGTATTTAAAATGAAAGGTTTCTGGTATGATCTACCTACTGTTCATAATAGTCAGCTCGGCCCAGGAGCCTTTTGTAGTCTTAGTGCCATTCATAGCAGACCACTGCGAAGTAATCACTCATTCTGACTCCGTGATTGGCAACTATTGTCAAGTGGTTGCTGAAGTAGGTGGACACAATCCATTCAAAAATGGCCCCTTATGTGATGTTTGGCACTTGAACCAGTGCACTAACTATCAAATAAAGGGCCATTAGGATTTAGCCCAGGTATATACAGAAGATGCACAGCTGTCTGCCTTTATGAGCAAGTTGAAATTTCCCCATCTTACATGATACAACCTATGAATGCTGTTCAGCGCACTGCTCTTGTGGAATGTGACGACCCCTGTTGCTATGAATTTAACAGAGATAAACAGGTAGTTTAGGTATGATTTGTTGTAAAACAAAAAAAGTGCAAGCAATGACTTGCCAAAAAAAAAAAAAAAAAAATCACCACAACACTGAATTGTTTTTACATGCAGGGAAGCTGAAAGGTGCAATGGCCCCTGCATGACGGTAATATTCTGATGCTAACAGTCACTTTAAAGGTATTGAGCTGTTTTGGTCCCAGGGCGGAGGCGACTGGAGAGTGTGTGGATCCATAGAGCAGATGGCAGAAAGACGGATGAGCGGACGTGTCCCCTCTACCCCCTCTCTCTCTAGCTCAGTTCTCTCCTCGTTTCTCAGATCAACATCCTTTAAATACTTTCCTCTGCCCCTCCTCCCCCCACAATCACAACCCAGGACTCTGCTATCATTCACCAGCTGGCCAATCACAGAGTCAGACTCAGTCAGAATCTGTGCCACTTCCTGCGGGCACACAGAGAGCAGGAGGGCGCACACAAGTAAGAGAACGACCTCACTTCCCTTCCAGCACAAAGAGCTTCCAGTATGAGTGGTAACAGGTCACTTTTTGACAGCCTGCCGGTAGCTGTGTCTCTGGCCTTGTCCACGGACGCAGCCTGCTCCTGTACCATTCCCAGTGGCTGGAGGGTCCCTTGCGGTGCTGGGACCATCTCTGGTGCTGCAGGTCAGGCTGCTCTCCTGGAGAGTCGGGCTGGACTGAGCCCTCTGCAGTGAACCCTCTTCTAGCAGCATGGCCTCAAACACGGACAGATTGTCGTCTCCACAGCGCTGCTTTGCTCTCAGCAGCATGCTGTACGTCTCATACCGCGTTTTCTAAGACAGAAAGAGAGTACATAAATATTAATTAATAAAGTTTTTTGGGGAGTGTAGATTTTAAACCAATCTTCCCCCCAGTTTCAGTAGCAGCCAATTCCACCTGCTAGGTAAGGCTCTCCTGTCATACAATGATACCAAGCTGGGAGGGTGGACTCTAGCACGTTCATCCTCTGAGATAAGTGAATCGTTACTGTGTCTTTTCAAACGGCGGCTAACACGTCATTGGACAAAGAACATTGCCAATTCTGTTAAGGCAACTAAAAGATGACCATGTTGGCTAGCATCATGCTGTGTGACGGGGGAGAGGCAGGACCATCCTAACCTCCCAGAGAGCTTGAGGCCAGTTGTGCTCTCTTGGAATCCTGGCCACAAATGGCTGTGGCATCAACAGGGGTCAAACTCATGATCTCCCAGCGAGAGAGCCAATGATTATACAGTTGTGCCACTTGGATTTGTAATAAGCTCTTGAGACAAGATACACAGCATAAAGCTTGACAGGGCAAAGTATTGATGATGGATACATTTTTATTTTGAAAACAGTATTGAAAGCGCTAGACTGCCTCTCTATCCCACATCTTAGTTTCCCTCCAGACCAAATGATGGAGAGAAATATACTACTGTCAGTACATTAACTGAATGGAGATGATCTAATTTTGAAATTTCATCTGGATGACTGCATTTGCAGGACTTATTCCCCTGGAACATCTTCATGGTCGGGTCATCTATTTTTGGTAATTAGATAACAGTAATCTATGCATTTATTAAAGTTCTACAATACGACAAAGTGAAAATTATGAGAAAATGCATTTGTTTCTGAGAAGTTTAGTTTAGTTTTCATCATAAAAACACAAAGTTGTTCATTTTAGTTTCACTCACTAGCTAAAATTAACTCCATGCGAGAGCTATAGTGAGCTAGCTACAATTAAGTCGACATTTTTAACTGTTGGAGTTGAGTTTACATTTGAGTTACTCAGCTAAGCTCAGCTGAGCCACACTTAATAAGCTCTGTAATGTACACTATCATCTGTACTTCTGAATCAATGTTGAACGTTGTTGCTTTGCATGGATTATTCTGCAAATATCAAATGACAAATGATGTACAATGCCCCCTGAGGTCTTCTTTTTACCTTCCAATAGTGGGGCAAGATGCCAAGTCTCTTACCTCAAACTCTAGATATTCTTCCCTTAGTCTGTACTCTTCTAGCTCACGACCTTTGACCTTTCGGTCCGGTGGGTACGAGCGGAGCTCGGCCAGCTCAGTGGAGGTGGCGTGAAAGCGAGCCTCGTGAGCTTGTACCTGCTCCTCCTACACAAACACACATACACACAGCGTTTAGTGAGAACGCACAGTTTGAGAAAAGAGTTTGTGGCTGCAGAACAACCAGCAGAGGCGCAGGAGCCAGATAATGTGCAAAACATGCAGCTTTTCTAGTTTGATCATGCGACCTGTGAGAGTTTGGAGGTAGAGCCTGGCAGCAGCGGGCGGCTGAACTTCTTCTGTGAGCCAATGGCAGCTGGCAGGGGTGGGGCAGAAAACATGGCAGCGACTGTGTTGATGCGAGTGATCCAAGACTGCATTTGTTCTGCATTCCTGCACACACACACACACATATCAAGAACATATCAAAACCACACCAAAAATAATTAATAAGCATGTGCATTTACTCATTACTGTGTATCTGACAAACAGGTGCTACTGCTAGGTGTAAAATAGAGCAAGAAGCAAAAATGCTGGGGTGGAATAGGTTATTTTCTTTGTATAATAATTTTTTGATTCTGGATCTAAAGATGAGCATAAGCCTAAAGCACAGAAAGCCAGCTTTTAATTCTGGGCCAGTATTTTTCATAAAAACACAAACTCCTTGAATTGCAGCTAATCATAAATACTGGGCAAATAAATTTAAAGCAAAATTAAGTTATTTGAATTATTTGGTCCCAAACTATTTATTTATTTATTTATTTATTTATCTATTTATTTATTTATTTACACACACACACACACACACACACACACATAGTAACTGCCTCAAGTCTACGACCCATTGACATCACCAGTCTCTTGATCTTTTGAAATACTCTCCATACATGGATCTAACAGATGAAGCGTTGTGCTTAGGATCATTTGCAATCTCAGTATTTCTACACACTTTCTCTTTTAATCACTTTTTTTAAAAGATGAATCTTTACCTCATCTGCCCACAAACCTTTGCTCCTAGCTAATCTTTGTATTTCTTTTTAAATTTCTTTTGTTCTTGGTGCTGATGAAAGGTTTGCAGAAGCTGGAAATATTCAATACTGCTGCTTTTGCCCAGTTATTCAGAAACAAAAGTTGACATTCTGTGCTTTAGTAAAAACACTGGTAAAATGTGGTATCAATTGCTCAATAAAGCAGAACCAAGAAAGGTGTAGCTACAGATTACAGACCCCTAAGAATGCATATTATTTAGGTGTCCAAGTTGTCTCTCTGTCTCATACACATACATACACACGGACACACACGCACACACACATCTCTGGTCTTTCCATAAGAGCTGTAACTGGGACAGAACTGCAACTGGAGCAGAACAAAGTCTCCTGAGGGACTGGAACATGTGGGGACACACATGGATATACAAGCTCAGTATAACATACATACACCCTCTCACCCTCTCACACACGTGGTGGGTGGCTGAATGATGTGAGTGAAGAAAGAGTATGTAAAAACATCCAGTGTGTGTTTAAAATGTCCTTTAATAAGTATGACATAATTGCTCTTTATGTAAACTCATGCCAGTGTAAACACTACGTAAGTTTTGGGGATTTGGAGACCTCTCTGGTGGAAATGTTTAATTGCATGCAACATGCAAAGAAACGTTTTTAATATCAGTTGTGCTTCAGACCCCTTTCTCGAGCGGATCAATCTGATGACTGCAAGAGCGCTGAAAGGGTATTCAAAGAGAACTTGGTCAAAACTTGGTTAACGTCATGTTTTCTAGGGGTGTGAATTTTCTACTATTGTCATCATATCTTCATCAGTATAAGGTTGATTTTGACAGTGCAGCTTTTGATGTGGAAACTGTCAAACTGAAAGACAATGAAGACACATTATGTTAAGTTTTTGTTCTGACAATAATTTTTGTCCCGTGTTATTTGGACAGCCCCTAACAGATTATCTACAGATGTCCAAACTATTAACAAACTATCAGACGATACACTCAACAGCATTAGGGTCAGGATTAGGACTAACATCAGGATTAGGTTTAGGACTAGAGTTGGGTTTATGATAAGGAAAAAATAAGAAATTTAATAGGTATTTAGATTAATTTAAGTTAAATACAAGGTAAGTCTCTACAAAGCTTCTACAATGTGCTATCTAGATAAAGTGTTACCTAATTTTTACACTTCCCCCTGTAGTTGCTAGTACTGTCTGCTTCATCTGGTAATCAACTGAGCACAAATAAGAGGGGGGCTTCACCCTCTTTCTGTTACACTGTACAGACATCAGTCCTCTCGGTAATCTTCTCTGTAAACTGCTCTCCTTGACCTCCTTATATCTATGATTGATGCTTCAGGCAAAGACTGCTTCTTCAGTTCTTGCTTATTTATTTTAGAATTTCCAATGTGGCATCCCAAGCTGTGAGGTAGATAACCCTATTTTTGTGCCACTCTTTAACATCCTCTTCTTAAATAACTATTGATTTTATATGACAGTGACTAATATGGGACTCACAATGTTTGGAAAAAAGGGGAACAAACAGGCAGGATTCTTAACAATCAGTTCGTGGGTGCACAGTGAAGCCTGATATATAATATATATGTATGGCTTAGGTCTTATTCAGAAATGGACTCACGGAGCCTGGAACAGGTAGACTCTCCAGTCGGCTGTGCGCAGATAGAAGACGTTGGGCCGTTTATGGTAGTCAGTGGCTCTTATGGCCAAGGAGTGATGGATGGACACTGCATTCTTCAAATCTTCATTAGAGAGCTGCTTATCAGGCCTATACTCACCCTGTAACAGCAATTAATTAAACAATTAATTATTACTCCATCAATCAAATCCACATATCAGATCAGACTTTTACACCTGATATATTTCCTTCATCTCTTAATTAATTGACTTTATCTGGGAAATTATTCTTGGCTAAACCCTCAAAGGGCATCAAATACCTGTTAAATGTTAACAAATATTACCAAACACCTATCCTACCCAGATAGCAGCGTGACATTGATCCAGAATGATCATTTTGGTCGTGGTTAAAATTTCAATGTCAACATTGTGTTGGATCAACCTAAAACTATTAATGAAAACTGGCAGCTTCTAATATTGGCAACAGTGATGTTGAATATCCATTAATTTATATGAAGGTGAACTGAATGTTGTTAGTTTGAAACACTGGCAGTAATGACATGGAGTATTCATATTAGTCTGACATGCCAATACGACCTGTGCACCATGCTGCTTGAGTCCTCCTCATAGTACAATATTTTCTTATAGCTAAAAAGAAATCTGTTCTAAAGCATCACTTATTTACCATTATGTTATGGTGGCAAAACTTCTGCTCACAGATGTTCATATTAGCCATGCTAATACGAACATAAATTAAGTATTTGTTAAATTAATTACCAATAAATTAAGTCTTTATTGGTCATTATTGAGCCAAGAAATATGGCTGCTTTTGAAAGAATATAGAGGAAAAGAAATATTCTTACTGCTATGTGTCTTATACAACAAGTGGTTAAAATACAGCTTGATTTCTTGTTTTTATTTTTCTGAGCACCCCAAAGAGAAAGGACATCTCATGAGTAACACAGTCATTTGGTTTGAGTGTGACAGTTTTACTGACAAGTTATTTTTGAAATGTTCTAGCTCCCTTTTAAATAAAAAAAATCTGAAACTAGTAAAAGGTTTTGTTGTTTTAGAGCAAAAAGGTTAAATATTAGCAGCATGTCTTCGATGATTTTTTACTGAAGTAATGGGATTTTTAAGGGTTGAAAAATGACTGAGGTACAACTGGTTTCATGTTGAATTTCTGTTATCCTTTCAACGTTGTTTCAATATTAATTCAGAGTGCATAAAGAATCAACCTTGTATTAGAATATCAATTCAACAGCAAGGCCTTAACGTTGATTTAGCATCGATTCAGTGATTGATATATTGCTTTATGGGTAAGTTCTCAAACGTTTTCATATGTAAGAAAAAAAAATCACTTTTCATAGTGCTGGAATGCTCCTTTTACTTAAGTAAAAGTATGCAGCTTTGAAAGAACTTATGTAGAATGTAAATGTGCTCACTGAATGTTTTACTTTCTCAGTGCCTTATTTTGCCTTCTTTGCTGATTCACTTTATAAATGTGCTCTGCGACATTTACTGAAAGTTCAGTCCAAGACGATAATTGCTACACTGCAAAATGCCATCTGCAATTGTTTCAAATATCAGCAGCATCATCTGACATACAAGTTGCTGACGTACCACATTAAAAAAGGCAAACACTTTTAAACCAATGTTGCACAAGCACAGATCCCTGAAACAACTACTTAAGTGCTGCAATTAAGAAACCGTACAATATAAGTCTTGCAGTGGTTATAATGGGTTTACAAAATCAAAGATAACACGTTAAGGAGTCAAGATTTCACACTGCTGCATTAATTCTTGATAAATATTAACATTTATTGGCTTTTTTTTCTGCCAACATGCTGTCCACTGCTGCCATTTGACGGTTGCCACAGAAAAGCCAGCTGTGTCTCCAAGGGAATCTTCCTGGATGGAACCACCACTTCCTCTTAAGGGGCAGAGTTAGCAGAACCCGGAGCAGTCAGCTGGCACAGGCCGCCAGACCACAGGCTTGACTCCAGCTGGAGCACAGGGCCTTCTGGCCTCAGCCCAGCATTCTGGATTAGCCAACTGATCCGGGAACAGAAATAGAACTTGACTTGCACATGGCTTTGTTGGGTCAGCCAGCTAAAGCGGTAAGGCTGGAAGTCTGCATGTCTGATACTGTGCGAGACAAAAGAGAGCGAGCTTTCTGATACCCTCTGCATGTTCTGCTCTGTTTTAAAATGCAGACTCATTTAAGTTTGTGGTCCCAAAAGAAGTTTAACACTTAGGAATCCAGAATCATATTATGTGGTGTCACCATTAACTCTATGCAATACTAAATCTAGCAGCATGGGGTCGCAGTGGAGCACATGTACAACAGTCCGATGACTGTCGCAGTGCAAAATATCAGTCCACAATAATAGTAAGACTGGCGCTATTGATAAAATTCTATATCTTATGAAATATATCAGGGTATCATGGAATCAGATAGCATTAAAGCTTGCATTACTCTGTGCTTCCTGTACTCTGTGTTAAAATAATGTCTCACAGAATGTCTTTTCTTCTCTTGAAATTATGTCAAAGAGAACAGCATTTAAACGTCCAACAGACAACAGGTTTCCATAAAGAGGTATTATTTATATACTATTTATGTATATTTTATTTTCATTTTGAACTGTTCTTTCAAGAAAATCTGAGGCAACCAGCAAATGTCGCACACTGTATACTGGTACACTGGTGAAGACGATATTTCAGTTTTTCCTTTGTCCCTAAGTGACAGTGTGCACAACACATGCTTCACCATTACTATGTTCTATTTCAGAAACAGTGTTGCTCTTATGGCAGGTAGAGAAATATTGATATTAAAGAGCATCAAAACATGGCTTTGACCCTCTATTGAGTCAACATCTGCCCCAAGAGTGAGAAAGAGAGAAAGACAGAGGCAGAGATGAAGTTAAGGGAAATGAATTTCCATGTCAAGTTAACCCATTCTCACCTTCTGGAGATAAAGAATAAGGCCCTTCAGGACGGCATAGAACGTCTTCCAGCCTCTCTTCCCTCGAGGAGCTACAATTCACAAGATAATGACAACTTGTTAATTTATTACCCAGGCAGAAGAGGCAACAGAGTCTAATGTGCTACATGAATCAACTGTAAAAGCTCAAGGGAGCAGTTTAAACAGTTCTTCTCTCAGTTCTTTATCACTAATAAAGATGTGCCCCAGTTGTCTGGTAAAGGCACTACACCAAAGACTGTCAAGTCGTGTAATGTGTGTATAATGTGTGTATATTCTTCAACAAGTTTAATTCTGAGGTGGGTTTATCCAACCCAACACTCTTTGTGCACTGCACAGTTTATAAGATTCCAGTAGCTGATATATTATTAATTGGGGAAATGTCATTATTATCAGTGAGATAGATGAAAATATTCATTGTAATTACAATAATTATGTGCGCTATTTTTACTTCTGCATGAAAATATAGACTGGTCTGATACCCCATCCAGATGGGACACCATGGCTATACTAGAGAACACCAAATTAAAACTGGACTGCAAATGCTAGATTCATGACTGATATAAAAATCTTTGTGGCTGATACCAATACCAATTTTAGGGGCCAAATAATTCTGGCAAGTATAATTATAGATATATTTTTTGTTTTATACTAGAACAGTTTAATTGGTTTGTGATGTTAAATTTGTTTGTGTGTCATATGTAAAGAGAACCACAATAAAAATAAGCTTTAGGGCTTTATTGGGTTTTAGTCCTCAATGGTGTAAAGTGTGTGTAATGGCTGCTGTGCAGCACTATGTGTATTTTTAATCATCAAATCAATTCAATTCAACTCAACTAACTGATACGATTGGGAGTTTTCAAATGCCCCACTTTTTAAACTCACCGTCTTAAATAATATAAATATTATACACTGAATGTACCTATAATTTTTGTGGGTTGGTTTCTGTTTATTACTGTTTCTTTTTTTATTATTCTCCATTTTGTGTTATAACATGTTACTCTCATGCTAAAGTTTAGGTTATACTAATGCACTAGTTCAGCCTGCACTGATATCATGTAGTCAAAAATAAGGTTTAATTTCTGGAAACCACATTGTTTTACTTATATTTAATAAAAGACTAGAAGCTGATTATTTTGGACTTCTGTGGACCCATGAACAATAGCACTACCGAAAGGTTGTAAGAAAAATATGAATTGGGTAAGACAGGGCTGATTTATATCTAATTCAAGCTGCAGATACACACAGCCAGTCTGCGAGTTGCCACAAATTTGCTGTAACGTAATACACCGAGCGAAATGCCCCCTAACGCTGTTACCTGCCCATTTGAGCAAAAGTTTTTTAAGCCAACAATGCCAAGCTTTGCTTTGCCAAAGTTAAGAGTCAGTACTAGTTGGGGCAGATAGGTCAGTTCTAAAATCTGATTGGCTGAAACACACTGTAAAATAATTCTGCTGAAATTGAGAGCAGGCTACCGTCGAATTGTATGTCATTCCATGGCAGTTTTTAATTGAGAAACATCTTAATTTGTTTCATAAGATGTCTGAATTTATCCGATTTACACCACTGCAATAAACCTGATTTCCAAAAGGTACCTTACGGGATTTGCATTTTTTTTTATTATGTTAGTGCTATGCTACAGCAGTGGTACATGGACATTTAGAGCTTATAACACTACATTTAAAGCTTACAACTGTAACAGATACTAAGGTAAGATATATTTTATAATTTGTATATGTACAGATTCCTTCAGTAATGGTTTGAACTTACATCTTGTCACGTTCTGCTGATGTTATAGTCAATGCTGCTTTGAATTATACCATGTTCTATTAACTTGCTACAGCATTAGGTACACATCAACATTTACACATTTAAGTTAGATCAGTAGTTAGCTAGAAGGCTCACTTCACTGTGTCATTGCTGTAACTGTGAAGAGGCTCACAAACATGATGCTTTTTTAAATCCTGGCAATGGTGTGACCAAACAAAGTCACTAATTAACGCTGCATTAGATAAAACTGCAGGTCATTATTATATTGATTATATATGTCATTGTTTAATATATAAAAGTAAACGCTTACTATAGCTGCCATGTCTGAATTAGCTATGTAATGACCATGTCAAACGAATCAATGACCATCTTTAACCTGTTTAAAATGTCGTATGCTTGCTGAACTTCATTAATGAATTATAGTGTGAACTTGGTTTAAATGCAAAAATGTAAAATGATCAGTTTTGGTTATCGTATTGAATTCTGGGAATTCCACTTCACTACCTCAACCCATCAGCTACTTATGAAGCTCTTGGGAACTCAGACCTTAAAGGGGAAAAAAGGGTGAATACAATCTTCTTAACAACTTTGCATGAAAGAAACTCATGAATGATTGCTTAAAGAGACTACAGCATTTTTCAATCTAATCTACACTCAGTGAGCACTTTATTAAGAACACTACTCATTCACGCAATTATCTAATTAGCCAACTGTGTCGTAGCAGTTCAGGGCATAAAATCATGCAGACACAGGCTAGCAGCTTCAGATAATGTTCAGCCACCAAAATGAGGCAGGGCCAGAGCGAGACTTGTTTTGAGATCCAAAATCCAAAACCCTATTCTCACACACACACACACACACACACACACACACACACACACACACACAAAGTGGGTAGGCCAACACCGTACATACAATTTCCAAACATGTTACTGTCCCACAAAGTCATTACATCAGGCTATAGGTTATTCCTAACAGCAGCGTTGTCATAACTCTACCTAATCCAACAGTTCTGCCCTGATACTAAACAATAGCAGTCAATCAGAAAGCTAGATTCACATAAACACAACCAACACCATAGCACCCTTCACTATAAAGCTTGTGTCCGCTCACCACAGGCACACATCTATCCAGAAAATCTGAAATAATATGAAGAGAAAAAACAAAAAGTTAAATCTACTAAAAGGCACAACGTTGAGGAAAAACACAACAAACTTAAAACCTAAACCTAATCATCAAAGCCAACATATAGGTTACTGCCACGGTGAGTGAACCCAATGAAGACGACATTACAGTTAAAATCACACAGCTGACGCGCAAAGACGAGGAAAAATAACAACAAACTTAAAATCCTAAACCTAATCATTGTAGGCAAAAGCATATTGCCATGGTGGGCATGAAACGTGTTTACGGTCCATTTATGTCCAATGACTCGATGCACTGAAGTAACATTAGGCGCTTGCTTTGACATTTTCACAAAGGCCATGCCAGCTTTTGTAGTTAAAGAGCATTAAGTACCACATTCACAGAAAACCGACAAAGATGACATTTTTAAATTTGTTTTTGGCTTTAGATCAGTAGAAAATGACCCACTTTAAGGAACTGATATGCTTTTAAACGTCCTCAGTCAACTCACATCTTTTACCCACAACTGGAGCTTCAAATTCAAAAACCGCCGCATGATAACAAACTGGCTTGAAGCAATAGAGGATAGCAATGGTTGCTAAGCAGGACTGAGGGCTAAAGAACATAAGGCAGAGTTTGGTGGAGAGCATAATGATTTGACTTAATAAATATTCTTCCCCCATCTGACTGCGTAGGCCTGTGATCAACCTGTGGCTAGGCACCTGCAGTAAAGAAAAAATGTTAACACCTTGTTGATGAAAGAGGTCAATGAAGAATGGCCAAACAGGTTTGAGCTGACAGAAAGGCTACGGTAACTCAGATAACCACTCTGCACAACTGTGGTGAGCAAAAAAGCATCTCAGAAACCACAGCACGTCAAACCTTGAAGTGGATGGGCTACAGCAGCACAAGACCACGTAGGGTTATAATTCTGTCAGCCAAGAACAGAAAGCTGAGGCTGCAGTGAGCTCAGGTAGAACGAGAGATTCACAGCATGTAACTGCACTTGAAAAATCTGTAGGAATGCCTTCATGTCAACATAGACCAGAATCTCAAAGGAGTGTTTCCAACATCCTGTGGAATTCCGGACACAAAGAATTGAGACTGTTTTGAGAGTATTAGCATAGTGTTCCTAATAAAGTGCTTGCTGAGTGTATATCTGTCACATGTGTTTCGTACAACTGTAATTTTGATGTGTTTCCCTGTACTTGGAAAAGACCAAGAAAGCCTTGACTGAAAACTAACTTAAGTCAATGGGCAGCTGCTTGTGTTCCTTTACTAAGCAGAGGGAAACGTGATGAGTTTTTAGGCTACGTAAAAAGGCTAAAAAAACAGTGGTAAATGAACTGATACAGGTGGTGAACAAGGTGTTGTACGCACTCCTTTTGCCATCACAGTCAGCGTGGACTTTGCGCACCAGGAAGCCTGTCTTGTAAAGCAGAGCGCCGGATGGTGGTACCATTCCACTGCCCGTACGCTTCATTCCCCTCGAATTTGAGTCCCCACGCCGCTCCCCCAGCTCAGAAAACGACTTACGCAACTCCTCTTCATCACTAGAGAGAGAGAGAGAGAGGGAGAAAGAGAGAGGGAGAAAGACAGAGAGAGAGAGAGAGAGAGAGAGAGAGAGAGAGAGAGAGAGAAAGGGAGAAAGAGAGAGGAAGAAAGAGAGAGGAAGAAAGAGAGAGGAAGAAAGAGAGGGAGAGAGAGAGTGAGAGAGAGAGAGAGAGAGAGAGAGAGAGAGAGAAAGTGAGAGAGAGAGAGCAAAATAAGAAAGAAGGGGTATTATTATAATGACAAAGTCATAAAGAGAGAGAAGGAGAAGTACAAAGAGAGATACAGAGAGAGAGAGAGAGAAATGAAGAGAAAAATAAGAGTACAAATATGATAAAAGACAAAAACTAGAAACCACAATTCATATCATTACGATGACAATTTCACACAAAAAAGAGAAACAGGAAGACAAACACAAAAAGAGAGATAAACAGAGACTGAATCGACAGAACAATAAGAAAGAAGGGATATTATTATAACAACAATATTAATGACAATTATTATAATCTTGTAGAGAAAAAAAGAGAGATTGACAGATATAAAGAGACAGAAACAGAGAGAGAAGTGAAGATAAGTGAAAAATAAAAGAAGAATTTTTTTGAAAATATTACACACGCTATCATAATCAGAATAAGTATTATTACAATATCACACAAAAAGGACGGATATAGATGGAGAAAAAGATAGAGGCAAACAGAGAGAGAGATAATCAAGAGAAAAATAAGAGGAGAAGAAATATTATAATGAAAATATCATGCTAAATAAATAAATAAAGTAAATAAATAAAGGCACACAAACCCTATTTCTCACTAAATGAAGCACTGGGATGATCAAGTAGGACAGGGTGGAATAATTACTAATGATTTATAAAAATCTCTGCTGTTCTGCTCTGTGTTCTTGTTCTATCATGCAGACGCAGCTGAGTGATGGCACAGGAGTGCTAATGATCACTGTTGACTCACGTCCTCTCTGTACTGAGGCTCAGTGTGATATGACAGGGTTCTGCTGCTTTGTGTTTTCTCTGAAGTGAGAGAAAACTCTTCCCTTTGCCTCTCTCTCTCTCTCTCTCTCGTTCTCTCTTTCTCCTTCTCACTGTGCTGTGCTCACCAGAGGACTCCTCCACTTCACGCTCTCTGATCAAACCACCCTCCCCTGTGAGAGAGACACGCTCGCAATCGATGGCATGTAAGACTGCGTGTTAAGAGGGAATGTGTACGTGCATTTGTTTATGTGTATGTAGAGATGTTAAACACTACCATCTCTCTCTCTCTCTCTCTCTCTCTCTCTCTCTTTCTCCTTTTACAGTAATCTCTCTCCTCTGCAGTCTGAGCAGATCTAAAGCCAAGATCTTTTCCCTACAGGAGAGAACTCTGCCATTATAAAAAGATCTTTCATCATTCTGTGCTGCAAACCAACCATTTTCTTGTAAGAACCCAAAATGCCACAGTTAGCTGAAGACTTTTATTCAGTCCTAATGAAGACCAGTTCTTTCATACCTCAGCTGTTCATTAGCTCACATTAATTCTGCCCCTAAGCTTGTAAAGTATAACTTGTAAAATATGCTTAAATCATTCTGCATGTCTACCATCACTTTGACCACTTTGTCTCTGACAGAAATCTTTAACTAAGATTAGAAATCTAAAGAGTGAGAAAAGGAGAAAGAGAAAAGAGAAAGTAATAGAGAAAGAGTGACATTAAGAGAAATATTAAGAGAAAGAAATAAGGAAAAGGAGGGAAAGAAAGAGTAAGTGGAAAAGTAAGGGAAAGAAAGAGTAAGTGAAAAAGAGTAAGAGAAAGAAACAGAATAAAAAGAGAAAGGAAGGGAGAAGAAGGGAGACAGGAGAAGAAGACAAAAAGAGAGAAACAGAGGAAGAGAGGAAGGCAAAGAAAAAGAGAGATCTGGTAAGAAAAAGAGAGAGGGAGAGGGAAATAAAGAAAGAGAGAAAGAAAGAAAGAAAGGGTGAGTAAAAGGGAGAAGGAGAGAGAGGTCCTGCTATACTCAGTCAGGCCGCGTGACGTCTCTCTCTGGGGAAAAGCTGCCAGCCTGTCTCTGCCACAGGACCAGCCTGGAGCCAACACTGCTACGGAACCTCGAAAGGCCCAAAAATGTGCTACTGTCCTTCCTCTCACCTCACTCAGCCTCTCCTGAACACACTGCATGAATTTAAACCACAAATGCATTTACAATCCAGTTATGAGTGCACAGATGAAAGCACACAGACTGTAAGCAAACAAAAACCACGTGTACAAATAAATCAAAACAATGTGAGGTTATAAACAATTTTAAGAACATGCAATAAAGCTGTGTGCTCATTCACCCCACCCCTCCACAAAAGATATATTGGGCTATTTTAAACCATTAAAAAGCCATTCTACTACTGTGCTAATAGTTCTTCCAGGTATATTGTTTATTTTGGTCATCTGTATTCCACGCTTTGAATTGTTTCCTAAAGAATCACATTCAAACTGAATGGTTGTGAGGTCTGGAATCTCTAGTTTCATGTATATTTGTATAGAATAGCTGTGGGGTAGTTTGGTGTATTCTGTCAAAATCAACACAGTAGTCCTGTTAAAACATTCTGCCATGTTACAGCTCTGAAAGTGAGGGCCAGAACAGCTAAAATGGACCTTAACCAAACGCTGACCCTTAAGTGTCTTGTTCACAAGTGGGCAGTGAAAAAGTGTTCAATCACACATACACAAACACGGCAGACTGACAGAGCATGTGCAGAAAACTTCAAGCTTGTTGCCTGGTAACTGCCAGCCTTAGCTCACACAAAGGGAAAAATAGAGAGAGAAGGGGGGAGGATTGATACGAGAGAGAGCGAAAGACAAAGAAAAGAGAAATCTAAAAAAGGTGATACAGATTCAGAAACAGCTCAGGGAAACACCTAATGCTTAATTACACACCCTGAGATACACTGCAATCACGTGTGTTTTCTTCCACAGTGAAAAACGAGCATAACTGTTGTGCTAATCTGTAATGTGTTGATCACTGGAGAGGGGAGTAAAGAAAAAGAAAAGAAACAAAAATGAAAGACAATGAGAAGGACAGCAGGAAAGAGACAGACTGACCGACTGAGGGCAGAGGGTGAAGTGTATAATTATTGAGGAGCACAATGATTAGGCCTAAAAGAACAGCATGCAGAGGGAAGAGCAGCAGCTAATGAGGACAGGAAGACTGCTTAAAACATTCACTTAACACATTCACACAACCTCACCTCTCAATCTCAACGCTCCAAAAAAGGAAAAGAGGCCTTAAAGCATTCATTTTGACGCTTAAACAAACACGGCGCCAAATCTTAAAACATGTTCACATCATGTTTGTATCACTTGCCACTTTACTTCACTGCAAACAATAGTGTCTGATCAAGTAAAATGATCTCAAATCTAGTCGGTATGTCAAATATTTCCCATTTTGAGATGGTCATGCACTTATTACTAGATTATCTAGCTTATTTCTAGACATTATACACTTGTTTAAGGTAATTTTATTAAGTACAATTATCTCACTATACTGGCAGATAATTTTGCTGGTTTCAAGCACATTTCTTAAAACAAGCAAAATTAGCTGCCAATATAGTGATAATTTTACTTAATAAAATGGCTTAAAACAAGTACAAAATGTCTAGAAATAAGCTAGTCTTAAATTAAGTTTACAACAACCTCAACCAAAGAAATATTAGATTTATTGACTATATTTCACACAATTTTACTTGACAAGATACCATTTTTTGCAGTGTCAGTCCACCTACCATATACAATAGCGTACAAAAGTCTTTCTTTTTTTAATTCCAATTAAAACAGCCATTAGGTACAAATTATTCCAGCAAAATATATATATATATATATATATATATATATATATATATATATATATATATAATACATTTCCTAGAAAGTAACAACTAAAAATATACATTTTTCAGCATCTAGTGTGTCCACCCTTTGTCTTTATTATAGCTATTATTCTTTTTGGGAGTTGCTTTCCATCATACAAAGAAATCTGCAGAGATAATATTTCCACTCCTCCAAAGTTCCGTCTTAGAATTTGGTTGTATTGTTAGTTGGTTGTAGTTTCCCACAATCCCAAACATCCTAAACACATTCAGTGATGTTGAGGTCTGGACTCTGGAGTGGCTTCTGTTCTCACAGAGGAGGGATGAACAGAAACATCTGCAGAGTTTTTCAGATCTGAAGCAAGAAATGGAACGTGATTTCTTCTCTCTCATCTAATAGAAGCGCTGTCCGAGGGGGTTAATTTTGGTGCTTTACTAGGTCTTGCATGGTTGTTAGGAGTCACATTTGACACTCTATCGCTGAATCAGTTTTTATATTCTAGTTTTGTTTTTTTGGCTTTCCCCTTAAGGAAAGTGTATTACTTTATATTTAATCTCCTGAAAAATGAATGACATGTACTGAATGGCCATTTTGACTGGATGTTAAATAAATGAATAACTGAAAGAGTGAGTTCTGACTTTTGCACAGTACCATAGACACACACACACACACACACACACACACACACACAAGGAGAATGACAGAAATATCTCCAATGACAGCCACAGGGCAGAACTGGGACTCTGTTACACATTCATATAGAAAAAAAAGATCAATGAAATTCTGGCACAATCTCAAGCAGGCGACCCAAATTCGATAAAACACAAAGCTCTTCCAGCCAAGCATCTCTACACACAGCCTCATTCAATCTGTGTCTCACTGGAAGGCAATCAGAGAACACAACCTCTATCCAAACTACTATTAACCTAATGAGCAAAACTCATAATAGAAATACAATCAAGGTAAGTGACCAAAACAAACCATCAAACTTCAAACAACAAGTTTATAGACACGTGCTCATCAAACACTTCTTCTGAAATCAGGAGTACTAACGGGGAGTTAGATTTGCCCCCCCCCAATTCACTGCAGTGACAGCCTCTACTCTTCTGGGAAGGCTTTACTCTAGATGTTGGAACATTGCTATGAGCATTTGATTGCATGCACATATAAGAGCATTAGTGAGGTGATTACTGATGTTGGTTCTAGATAACAAATGCCACTCTGTCTCATTCCGAAGGTATCAGGATGAGTTGGAGCGGCGTTCCTGATGCCTCATCACTCTTGAGAATGCAGTTCCACTGCTCCACAGTGCAATGCTAAATGGCTTTATGCACCTCTAGCAGATGCTTGACCTTAGGTTCATGTGTGAGCATCTCATTGTACACCTGTACACCTGTGTCAGCAATTAAAGCTCATTTTAAAGCTACACTATGTAGGTTTTTGGGATCTGGAGACCTCTCTGGTGGAAATGTGTAGTTACATGCCTCACGCAGAAGAACATTCTGTAATTTCGGCTGTGCTTTGAACCCCTTCGACTGCTGATGGCTGCGAGTGTGTTGAAAGAGTACCAAAAGAGAACTCTGTCAAAACTTGTTGAAGGACGTGTATTCTGTGGATGTGAGTGAATGATCTACTATTGTCATCATATCATCAACACTATCATATTTACTTTGCATTTGAGATCTAAATAAACATCAAGCTTCTTTTTCCTCTTTTTCTTCTCAGGCTCAAGCTTCTTTTTGAGCCTGTGCATGTGACGTTAAGACATAAAGACGCACGACATGGTCCAAAGAACTCTCGTGACATCACACAGTTGACCTGTGAAGTGCTATTTCATGCTTCTGTACAGACACCATATTTTTAGCATGTTCTTTTTTCTCATGACTCAGCATCGCTACTTCTTTCAGTTGTAACAAAAAAAACATACATAGTGTAGCTTTAAAGTAGGTTAATCACTTATTAAAAGGGGTGACTGGATACTTTTGAACATGTAATGCAACATATGAACACAGTTACATCAGTGTTTGACAAGAACAGAACCACAAGGAGGAGAGAGGATCGACATGAAGAAATGCAGACATGTCTCATGTCTATCAATCCCTGCTGTTCTCCTTTCCCTCAACATCCCAGGACACCCTCCCCCACCCCAAAAGCAGGTTTCTTGCAGTCTCTCTCTTTCCTCCAGTATCATAATGGTACTTCCAGCACGCCATATATCTCCCTCGCACCATCACAACTCTTCATTTATAATACATGATATGTAAAGTGTAATACGACAAGCTTGTGTGCGTTAAACAGTGCAGCTGTGAAAAATGCTAAGTTATTGCAATGTGTTATGCAGCAAGGCGGCAGAAAGTGGACTGGCCTTTCTACTGCAGCGCAGTGTGTGTATATGTATGTGTGTGTGTATATGTGAGAGAAAGAGAGAGAGCGAGCGAGCAAGGGGGAGGCTATTTTAAGACAGGTAGTAGGAGGACTGTAAGCACACCTTTACTCTGGATGCAAGAAGGCCCCTTTAAAGAGTGTACTGATGTGCGTTTTTTGCCTGTTTGCGTGTGGGTGTGTATGTGTGTGTGCGCGAGTGAGTGCGCTGTACGTTGTGTGTGAGACAGTGAATTCAGATCAGCCAAAGGAGAAGAGCTGCTACTGCGGAGCGGTAGCCATGGAGGCGTAACCATAGTAACAGCACTAGGAAAGCCAGGGACTTTAATTGGTGACTGCGATGGCAAAGCAAGAATAGAAATCTTTGACACAGTAACGCCCTTACAGCATCATCGCAACAGACGTCATCAATACACACAGACCTACCATCAATTCAACGCACACATCCACCATCCCTATTACTGCTGCCACTACAGTGCAGTCTATGTACTGTTGCTCGCTGCTCTGATCTGCCAACGTTCCACGGTCCCTGTATGACATCATAAACCTTAACGTTATTCCATTTTGGCATCACCTTAATGGACTATAAAACTGTGCACTGCACCCACTATCGAATGTTTGGAGGGACCGGTTCTGTGACAATATGGTCATGGCAAATTTTATATGCTACACCAATCGGCTTGCAGAATCTGCAGCCAAGGAAAACATACAGGATCCATTTTCATTATGTAGAGTAGGAGCAAACAAAAGACTCACATTGTCCACTGAAGCTTCTCATTCTTGATGGAGTTGTAGAGAGCCTGCAGAGAGACACAACAGGTAATTAGCCACAAATATTAGTCTCTGAGGATGACAGTCAGAGATATCTCTATCACAACTGATAGCTCATATCCTCTGTCACTGTATGACAATAATGGCACAGAAACAGATACAGAAAGAATGATTGTTTCCTCTACCCGATCCCATCCATACAAAGCACCATTGAGAGTATTGAACCACAAATAACCACGCAGTCAGTACCAATTATCACAGTACTGAGTCAACATGGCAACAGGGCCTTATTCAGGGTTGGCAACTGACAGCAAAAGCTTTCGACGGAAATTCAGAATGATTTGTTACAGAGACACCAACTCAGAATCATGTCATTTTAGATCAGTACTGCATGCTGAAAATGGGATGCCTGCTCTATACACTAACAAAGGAACGTAACATGCTTGTATGTTTTTAGTTGATCTATAGTGCATGTGATCAGTACAAGGAATAGTACCATCAATATGGTGAGATGTGCACAGGTACACAAGTACGCAGCTAAATGTTCGAGGTGCTAGTATTCGCGTACCGAAACCATTATTTGTTTTTAATTTTTATTTTGAGTTTCGCTCAAAATATTTCTTAAGGTCTTCTTAAAGGAACTCTAAATTCCTCAATGATTTTTCGATGTCTTCTTTTCAATTACAAGCTGAGAGAGTGTGCGGCGTAAACCAGAAATTAGCGTGAGGTGCTGGAAATTAGTGTATTCATTCAACACAGCAGACTGCAGACTAATGACTAAAAGCTGATGTTAATAATATGCATAAAGTATGTTATTTAGACAAGCAATCAGTGGTCTAGACTTTGACACAAACATGACTTTTGGTTTTGAATGACATGGAGTTTTTCGATCCACAGCATTACTGAATCAGTTGATATAATTACATAAAATATTGAATTTCGATACCCAGTTCTACTCTTTTATGAAACTGCAAGTTGCCATAACCTAGAGGAAGTGTTACAGCAACATCTACTGAACATCACAGACAGACTAGTCTTTTCTTTTCAGCATCTGTGTTAGGGTTTGGAGTGACAGCTGGAATTTGACTGACAGCTGTTCACAAGATGCCAACTGCTGTAATCAGTGAGATGCTTGAGATGCTCTGGATTTAGATTGATCATGTGAGTAAATGGTGCAGTTTTACAGCTGTATGGAAAGTACATAATCAATGTGTGCATGTGGCTTACAAAATTAACAGTTATCACAGTACAATGAAACCCATTATAGTACTGTAACTTCATAGAGTAGACCATGATTTGTAATTTTATTTTTTTTTGGTAAAGAGAGGACAAACCAACCTTCCTCTTTTACTTGGTCTGGTATAGGGTTGGGGGCTATAATGGTAATGAGGTATACTGCGGTATTCAAACATGATGCTGGTATTTCAAAATTATGATGCGTCATATTTCTATTCCTCATCTTGAACAGCCAAATAAACACATTCTAGCAATTGTACACATCGGGCGCAATGCTTTTTTTTGTTTTGCTGGGGTGTATCACGAAAAGCAGACAGAACACCTATCAAAAAATATCCTTTGCTTCTCATAAAACAGGCAAACTGTGACCTTATCCATGATGCTTTCCAGTTTGGAAAACGCACAAGGAGAACAGAGTGCGTCTCCGCCTCATTCAAGTTTTGTACACAGCCACACAGAACTCAGGTCGAGGTGCTTATGCAGATGCAGATCCACACAAGACAAAGTACAAAACAAACAGGCCGAAGTGCAAATAAGTCATCCTTTTTTCTACAAGCACTGTTTTGCACTTTGGAAATGTTAAAGTAGCAAGGAGAGAGTTATGGCTTCATTGAGCAGTTGAAACTTTGAGTTTAACTTGTATGTTTGTAGCCCAGTTTGAGCCCCATTTGAGCTGCTTTTGGAGATTCTAATTCTTGTAACAATTGCAAAAAAATTCCAGTTGCCGGGACACAGCTCATCTGCCATCTTGGTTGTCCCCATGCCAACCATGTTAGACAGTTAGTTTTACTAAGCCAGACTCAAACATGTTCTGTGGTGAGCAGAGCTGTTGTCATGCTAGTTAAGCTAATGCTAATCACCCCTCCTCTCTCCTAGTTAGCAACGCTGTTTATCATTTATCAATTGTTAGATGGATGGTTTTAAATTTATCGAATGATGACCTGAAATTTGTGTATGGTGTTCACTTATTTGGTGAGTAAACAACTAAATTTTCAGTCTTGAAATAACAAGGACAAGATTACAAAAGCAGTACTTTTTGGAGACGATTTGAAGGAATATAAAAAAGGGGATAGCAGCCAAAAACCCTATTGTGGAAAACCATACATATAACCATAACTTCTGTGAAGCTCCTAAAAAATAGTTAATTCTGTGAGAAATATATTTGTGTTTATGCTTGAGGTGTGCTTGATGCTTCTACATATGCCTGAGGTATGAATATCAATGGCGAATAGTCTTAACATATCAGCCATCATCCAAAAGAAACCAGCAGGCATTTTTCCTCTGGGCCAAACAAATCATACTCACAAACATGTTAATTTCTGCAACAATTAGAGCCAAACAAAGCCAGCGGGAGAACGTCTATAAATGATCTACTAGTGAATGTCACTTCGATATTAACACCCCTCCATCACCCTCCCACACACCACAAATGCATGCACAGTCCAAAACAGCACTGCTCACAATAAATTAGCAATAGTGTGTTATTGTGATCTTCAATATAATGGAAGGTTAGATTGTAGGAAAGTGAGTCTCAAATGTGTGACAAGACATTTTCAGCCATATATGTTAACACAGAGAAAAGGGTGAGACAGGTAAAAGGTGTGAAGGAAAACCAGAGGTGATGAAGAGGTGGTAAACAAGTACCAGGGAAACAAGAGAGACAAGACAAACAAGGTAAATAAGTAGGGGTGTATGATATATTGGTGGCTATTACATTGTTTGCTGATAAATGGGAAAATGTAAATTCTAAACTGATATATGTCCATTTGGATATACATTTTTTTTTTAAGAATAAAAGCTGATGTATAACAGGAAACACATTTTTATTTCTCTAATAAATGCGGCGACCATCTCAAAATAGCATTGATATTTCTTGTTAATGTAAACCCCACTCAACAACATACATCATTTAAAAAAATCTTTAAAGTGGTCTATAATGCATTTTGGAACATAATCTTTTAATTACAACCTATTATTTAATGCATGCACTGACGCATGTGTTGTCACTTGTACTTAACCATTTCTGTTCTTTTCAACTCAATAAAATGCACAGCATAGTGGCTAACTCCATCAGAGATTTCATTTCCTGTTCAGGCAGGGCCAGCACTGTTTTACAGATTAGAGTGCTGGACTCATAAGGCCAGTTTCCCTGACCCAGATCAAGCTTAAGCCTAAACTAAAAAGAAATTCCAATAGTGAATCACTACTGACACTTCAGTAGTGTAAGACAAGGCTTAATCTATTTCTGGAACACCAGTTACATTCACCTACTGTTTTGAATGGCTACAGAGAATAATGACCACTAAATAATGTAAAATACTGATGCAAAATAATGTAAAAAGCTTACAATAGGCTACTTATTTAGCTGCGTCATGGCTATATGCAATTACTTAATATATGTTTATGCTCAGTGCGCTTTATATATATATAAAGATCAAAGCAGTGGTTCCCAACCCTGGTCCATAAGCCCTTCCTGCATTGAAATGAGTGTGTTATTATTATTTTTATAGGCTCAGAAATTCCACATCAGTGCATCCCTGTAAAAAATTGGGACAGGTGAAAACACAAGACAAGTAAAAAGGTGATAGAGGTGAACTTGCAAGTGACGTAATGAGATGTGACAGATGAATAGGTTATAAAGGTAAGGCAAAGAAACAGGTAAGGCAGAGAAGCCAGCGTACCCTCTTCCTCTTCCGGAACTGTGGGTGCTTCTGGCCATCCTGAGCCTTTCCCAGCAGGTCAGGGAACACCAAAGGGTTTGAGGGAACGTGAGCGGGGCGTGCGGGGGTAACGGAACGGGTCCATCATGCGAAAATCTCTCCCATAACGTACAGAACAGAGTGAGCGTGAGCGCAGGCGACCCGCAGAGTGGAGACTGTTCACGCCAATCATGGTAACTGAAAGAGGCTCGATAAGTCCTGAGGATTCTCTACACTGTCCAACAGGCTTTGGATGTTTAGGTCAAGTGGTGTGGCCAATGCTGCAGTCCGACTGGCCACGGAAATCTTCCAGCAGTGGTTGTTAAATCTAACAATCACTTATTCAGAAAGATGTTCTGCTGATGAAAGTGTAGGAAATCAATAAATCTTTACTTCAAGCTGAAGCAGAGGGAGGAAGAAAATATGGACTAAATGGAAGCAAGTGGTAAAAGAAAAAAAACGAAGAACTAGTTTACGGATAGAAGTAATGTCTTTACTAAAAAAACACAAAAATATGTACTGAAAAAAAGTCCAGTTTCAGTGTTTATTTCCCTTTTTATATATAGTTGCTGTTGTTAGGGGTTATAATCCACCTTCAAAACTTATAGTTCCATTACATGTGTGCTACCTTAACTGTCTGTCACCTGCTTTAAGATAAAATGAACTATCACCATGTTTGTCAACAGAAGACCAATACCCCAGTGGAGCCATGGCTTGCAAATACACAAACTAAATATACATGGTAATATAACCCATCTGAAATGCATTCAAAAATAAAAATATGGCTGAAAGATTAATGGTTTTTATATTGAAACTGCAATTTGAAAGTTGATTTTTTTTTAAATCGCAAGAGCTGCAAGTTTTATTATAGCCTACATTACTAACACTGTCTTAAAAAGATTTAAAGCTGGGAAATGTATCCTAATAACACAAAGCTTGTAAACTGCCTGTAGTTGAGCCTGACCAATTGAATGCAACCAAACATTCATGCGCTGTGTACATAACAAAACAACCACAACTAACTGTTAGTCGAGCACAGTGCATTCAGCGTTGAAGCTTCAAGCCAGAAAAGTAAATCTGCTGGTTGTCATGGC